CAAACAAGTAAATTCCACAACAATCCAAAGCAAACTGAACAACCTGTTAGAAACTACGACATTATGTGTATTTATTCCAGTCACTTCCAGCAGTGTAATTATACGAGGTTATATCAATGAATACATTTTTACATTTAATGAAAACAAAATAACCTAAATTGGTTCTTCTGGACACACCCTTGTATTACTCCACGTGGGGTTAATGAGCCCTGCCAGGCAAACCTAACGTCAGAATGAGCAGTTTAACACATGTGTTTGGTCAAAGTAGGTCTGCAAGTTAACGAACGACGTTGGAAGTTTCTCTTTTTAAAAAAGATATCCAAAATTTGTAGTTACACTTTATTTAAAAGAACTTCAAAATTATTATAATTATTAATTAAGAGTAAAAACAATTTGCCGTTCGTGAATTAAGTATTACAGCAATATGCCATGCACGTGAACTACAATACATTAATTAGTTAAAAAGGCTAAAACAAAGCTACCCAAGAAATAGTCTAGTTTGCACATTATTGGGAATTAGAGAAACGCGCTGATTATTATCTATTCACATCGATAACTCCTCCCCCATTAGGATGAAATTTTAAGGTATGCAAGAAAGGAATTAATTTGATAAGATTTAGAACTCTTAAAATTTCATTTACAATATTTATTAAAATTACAATTATTTTACTCTACATTGAGGTAAAGGAAAGGCTTGTTCCTTTTGTTCTTCCTTTTCGTCACTTATTTTGACCTTATTTAAACACAACTTAATTCTATTCTTTATTAATAATAAAATAATAATTAACATCAATATCGTTATAATTATTGAGAATGTTATTATATGGTCTGATTCACTCTCATTGTTATTATAAATAATCGGGTCATTGGACTGTAAGGTTAATTTGGACAACTGGTCCAAACTTATAGATTTCAGGTTTAATTGAATAGGTTTTACGTTAACTATATTGTCTACAATCGATGGCAAATAAACAGGGGTTTCCTGTATTGTATCCTCTATATTTATGTATTTAAATTCCCTAGTTACGAATGAACAAGAATACGGTAATGTGATCAAAAACGTTCCTCTTAAATTGTGAACTTCTTCCATTCCACAATTAACATGAATCAAAGTAAAGTTTGGCAAAATTAGGATGTATTTCTCATCGTTCAAAACTTCTACTAATTGATCCGTGACATTAATTGGAATGTGTTTACATGATGGATTTTTCTTTACTTGAAGGAGATTGTTTATGCAATTATCTTGTTGATAGTTTTTCTCTAAATTATTAATTGAACAAAAGTATTCTTGTTGCAACCGTTTAGTTTTCTTTTAAATAATAAATTCCGTTTTCAGCTAAAG